ATCCACAATTACTTAAAGAGTGCAAACACTCAGGTAAAGAAAACAGAAAGCCTTTTGAAGAGGATAACAAAAAAATTAAATGCAAAGGAGTTTAGAACACAACTGATTACACAGGAGACACCATGTAAGAAAAAATTCTGATTCCTTTGACTTAAACTGTTAGCAAAAGACACAAAATTCAATGCTGATAAATTTTCAACTTTTTAAAGCTCAGGTAACAATTATTTAAGTCATAGTCAACACAAAAGATCTATAATGTTTCAAAAGAATTTACCCAGATTTTTAGAATTGGCCTAAGGGCTGGCCAGATAGTTCAGCAGACTAAAATGCCTGCTTAGGCAGAGCGCAGCGGCCAGGGTTTCATCCCTGGCATGCCATGCTGGCTCTGCCCCTGGGGTGCGCAGAGACTGCAATTGAAACTGGGCATGGTGACACACACCAGTAATCCCAGCATTTGGGAGGCTGGAAACAGGAGAGTCACTACGAGTCCGATCTACATAGTGAGACCCTGTAGACCCTGTACCAAATACAAAAAAAAAAAAAAAAAAAAGAATTGATCTAAAGAGAAAATGTCTTGTTCTTGAGAAACTACTAAGCAATGGTGCTGTCCAGATTTCTGGCTTTCATGATTCTATGAAAGATTTTTGTACTTGCCTTTTGATACAGGACATGAAAAGCTAACCAAAAGCAAAAGCCATTATAAAAGACCCTCAGCCTTCCTCTATTTGAAGCAATCCTAAATACATTAGTCCTTTAACATAGAATTAAGTTCATATTATAAAATTCAGTTGTCAAAACTATTTGACTTGTCTGGTTTTTTGTTTTTTGTTTTTGTTTTTGTTTTTTTGGTACTGAGGATCGAACTCAGGACCTTGCAATTGGCAGGCAGGTGCTTATGTCACTGAGCTATCTCCTCGGCCCTTCAAAATTATTTGAAGTGGCAGAAAAATAAGTCAATTTTCAGCACTTAAAAAACAGAGGAAGACTGACATGAATACCATTAGTAAGCTTAGGATTAATAACACAGGACCAGTGCATCTTCCATGAGTAAAGTACAAGAACACTTAGAACAATTAAGAGATCTCAGTAAGGCTTCTAACTCCGCCCTGATCAGCAAGCCAGGCCTTCCAAGTTGTCTTTAATGATGGCTCATAAATCCAGAGCAGCATTTATAAATGTCAGAACGTACTTTAGATACATAGCAGTTGGGTAAGCCGAAAGGCTCCCCAACAGCAGCTAACTGAAGAGCGGTGGTTCCCGAAGTGTTCTTCCTGTCTCTTCCCTACCAGCTGCATGTGCCATACCAGGGAACTTGTTAGGCAAAGAAACTCCCCCATCTTCTGCAGTGGAAACTCTGGGTGGGCACCATCTCCAGGTGATCCTGACTTATGGACATTGCTGTAGAAAATACAGCAGTTTTGAGCATGGGACAAACACAAGGTACTAAAGAAGTGTATGCAAGCTAGTGTTGGTTAATCCAAAGGCCATCCTCTTCAGTGGGCAGTACAGACTAGGACCTTGTTCAAAACACACCTTGAAAAGGTCCTTGGAGACAGGTCCAATGGAAAAGTCATTTTTTGGGCATGTTACCATAGTAACACAAAGCATTATTTACTTCTCTTTTTTTAAAAAGCCCCTTTTGCAAGGGACATTATTTGCAGAAAGATCAAATGTACTTTCATCCTGGGGAAACAAAATTTTGGAAAAGCAAATAGGGGAAACAGCCTTGAAGGCTTCCATACTGTACACCTCTATAGCCCAGTTCTGGGTGAATACTGCCTAATTATGACTGTCCAGTACAGAAAACATGTGTCTAGGCAAACCTCCACTGTCTACTCTGAAAGATGACATTTGCAAGGAATGGCAAAATGACACGTCTTACTTCAGTTCCTCTTCTGATCCCTCAGTCCCAAAAGGAGGGTGACTAATTATTCCACCACTAACCGTTCTTCACATCCCATGACCACCTTCTTTCAAGTCTACATCCTGGCCTTATTTGTGGGAACTGCTACAAGAATAATGTTTCTTATAAACCATTCCTGTACCATAAATTTCATTTTTGTGTATAGCTATTTTTATAGTTTATACATAACTTCCATGTTTCTAACTCATTTGATTTTATGTCAACCTGGGAGGTGGGGAGATTTACTATTTCCACTTACAGATGAAAAAACTGGAACTTAGTGGTAACCTCAACAGACAACTGATCACTGAGTCTTAAAGGAGAGAGATAAATTCTTTGCATAAAATTAAAGAACTCATGACACCTATATCCAAAAGAACTAAACTCAGCTGAGTCTTTCACTTGCCAAATGAACTCACCAAAAATCACCTAGATAGATTTTTCAGTTGAGGGGTATTTTTTCTGGCTTAGGAAGGGAGAGGAGCAGGAAAGTGTAAAGATACTAAAATGGACCAATTCTCCCAGTCACTGAACTCACCTAATCTGCAGTGGGTCTGGAATTCTACAGGGCTCCAAGTACTAACATCAACAGTAATAATGATGACATTAAGATTGAGCCTTAACTACATTACAGGCACCATTCTATGTGTATTAAATATATTCAATGACCTTAATATTCTCATTTTACAGATAAAAAAAAAAAAACAACAAGGCGCTGAAAAGCTAAGTAATTTGCCCAGGAGAACAACCTCTTGTTTCCCAGACACAGAGGAAGAGGCATGACCCAAGTGCCAAGCCCCTGTGAGGCCTGTCTGCTAGTGATGGAAACCAGGAATGGGATGGTAGCAGCCACCACAGGAGTCTGGGTTATGTTTCCAGGGCCACCATTTGGGCAACAATCTCCACACTCTGTCACTCAAAGCATTAATCAGCGCTCAGGTTCCAAGTAATTAAGCAGCTACTCAGACCCTTAACAACCAATTCCTTTTCAGACTGTCCCCAGGAAGGTTTCCTAGTTCTCCGTGATGGAACACCAGCTGATTCGCCTGGAACTGCCTTCAACTAATTTAGGAAAAATGAGAGAGGAAAGCAGCTGTGGAGGAAACATGGCAAATCAAAGATGCATGTGGGAGGCAGCAGTTCTAGTAAATGCACAGAAAAACAGCTCCGATTTCTCTTTTGAAGAAATATAAATAAAAAGGAGTCCTTGCTGGTGCAAATTACTCCTGTCTTTACAAAAACCACACTTTTTCAACTGTTCACATTTTGGGACTGTATGTGCTAGCTTTTACCTATTCATCAGTCTTTGATGTTTGTAATTTTTTTCTTAAGCAAAGAAAGAAATATCAAACTGAAGAGAACACTCAGGGAAACAAGGAAAATTTCATGATGAATGAATTTATTCTTCATGGGTGAGTATACTATGAGGGAAGGTGGGGGAGACAACTTTCAAAGGCTTCTTCAGATTTGCTTACCTTCATCATTTCCTGCCCTTAATTTTCACTGAAAAACATCTCAAGATCTAAGGGATTCAATGGAAACTCAATTTAGCAAGTTCCACGGTATTCCACTTAATATCTCCTTAAAGCAAAGTCCTAAATTTGAGATTGGAACTATACCAACCACAGATTATCCATTGTTCTTCCATACACTTTGATAATGCTAGTCTACCTTCCTACTGTGGGCTCCAAATGCTTTACTTCCCCTTCTACAAAATGCAAAGGATAAGGACACCTGCTTCATCAGGTGGATGTAAAAACTTAATGAGTTAATAAAGTAGAACTCATCTCACAGGGTGAGTGCTTACACAGTGTTAATTATGAATACTATTACTATTATTTAGAAAAATTAGGTCAGGAAATAATGTCCAACAGTCACCATATCTGTAATGTTTCATTGTTATTTTTAAAAATGAAAACAACAGTTACTACACACGCATGCACGCACACAGCGGTTCTTAACGGGAAGATAAAAAACTGCCCCTAATCATGTCACCTGCTGGTGAGTTTCACACGAGGGTGCAGCTAGGAGCATCTCCGTCTACCACTGCCCTACATTTCCCTTAGAAGACGTCTCCTCTCCTGTTCCGATTCTTAATCAGCGTGGCAAGGACTGGATTGCAGGCGGGTCCTTGAACCTGGAGCAACTGTACACGGAACTGGGCGAGGCAGCTCTGGGCATTTAGGGGGCGGGGAGGGATTCTAAAGCTTTCCTGAAACTCGAAGGACCCTGTACGTAGAGAGCAACTTTGCTTTACAGCGTTAAACTCAGTGGCAAAGGACGACACAATTCACTTCGCTCAAGGCTGAGCTGTAACCGGGACACATGGGCTGGTTGTTAATCAGCTGTCTCCAGAGAGAGCCGGTACCACTAGGGGCAAGAGCCGGCTAGGCGGCGCGTGGCACTGCGCCCCTGACCTCTTACAGACGGCCCTGTCAACTTCTCGGCTACTGGGACCTGACCCTGGCATTACTGGGATTTAACTCCCCCTCCCCCAGTCCCTGATCATTTCCAAGAACAAACTCAAAGGAAACTCCAACGTTCTATCTAGGATTTCACTCCTGCCCTCAGCTGAGACTGAAACCTCTCTTCCCAGGGAAGTTAATTAAAAGAACAATTAATCCGCACAAAATCCAAAACCTATCCCAAAGCTCATGAGCTCCTAAAGTTCGAGGATCGAGAGTGCTTTAACTTCTATTCGTCCGGGGCGCGGGGTAGAGGGCAAGTGGACGAGGGCGGCCAGGGGGTCTGCCCTCGCCCCGCTCCGAGGCGGCCCCGCGGCGGCGGCCGGGGCAGCCAGGTATGCAGGGCGGTGCGGGCATGTGCGCCGCAGACGCCGCCGCGGCGATTAAAGTTCAAGCCGTTCGCACCCCGCTTCCCGGCCCGGCGCTCTCACGCGCTGCCCGGCCAGGCGGCCCCTTCCCGGGAGAGCCCGGGGCTCCGAGCCCCTCTTTGTCATTCTCGGCGAGTCCCCGTGGCCGTCAGGCTCCTTCCACTCCCCTCGGCGGGCTCCCGAGGCGCCGGAGAAGGGCAGAGCTGGGAAGGGAGCTGGGACGCGGCGGCGCGGGGCGGGCTGGGCGCAGCAGGTAGCACTTACCCAGCGCGAGCAGGGCGAGCCGTCCGGCCGAGGTGACCATCTTACGCGGGCGGCGGGCGGCGGCGGCGGGCGCTCCGGCCTCTGCCCTCCCTGCGGTGCCCGAGTGGCGAAGCGCGCCGCGGCGC